TACCCGCAAACGGACGGCCAGACCGAGATAGTCAACTAATGTGTTGAGACTTACCTTCGCTGTTTTTGAACGGAGAGACCACGACAATGGAGTAGCTGGTTGGCATGGGCAGAATATTGGTACAACACCACGTATCATGTCTCAATCAACACTACCCCTTTCCACATTGTCTATGGTCGCCCCCTCCCCCGTTGATCTTCTATGGTGATCAATGAACGACCAACGCCACTCTGGACCAACAGTTGGCCGAGCGAGATCAGGCCATTCAATGCCTGAAAAACCATTTGGCAGATGCCCAAAATAGAATGAAGAAGTTTGTCGACCGACACTGTCGTCGTGTGGAGTTCGGTGTGGCGATTTGGTTTACCTCAAGCTTCGCCGTTACCACCAGTTGTCACTCGCCAAAAGGCGTTGTTTTGGAAAAATAAATAATTGTTTGAACACTTTAGTTTTAAGTGTCCAAGAAATGTTGAACATAAGTTCTATGCATGTCGGTTGTATTTAACAAGTGTTCTACATGTATCCAATTTATTCAATAAGTGTTTGATCCATGTCTATTGTACTTAACAAGTGCTCAACACATGTCCAATCAATGTTGGAGTGTTTGTGTGTTTGGTATGCATTTTGCATGTATATGCTACCCAAACTAAACTAAAACGTCCTTGCTTCGTAGTTTGGCTGTTTTTTTATTTTTTTTATTTTATATATTCTTAAAGGGAGTTTTAACTTTTAAGTTTTCATAATTTCAATGAAAGGCTCTGTTTCTTGTCCAAAATGGAAGAAAAATGTCTATCAGATTGCTACATTATTCTCTGTATGTCTATATGTACACGTATGGATATGATCAAGTAAAAGCTGAAACTTAAAATAGTAATGTTATTTTTCTCTATGAAGGGAGATGTATATCCCGTGGAGCAGTCAGATGGGTTTACTATAAAACCAGTTCTTGATGCTCATTGGGGAGTACTTAACGATGAAGATGTAAGAAAGCTGATGGCCTCTTGGTTTCAAAATTATAATTTGGTTCATGTTCTTAGATGTCAGGGTAGTGGTAGTGACATTATTTACTGTTTACAATTACTAATTTCATTCTTTGTTCATTTTACCGTAATTATTTTACTATTACAAATTACAGATGGATGGTTTTCGTTCACATACTTTATCTATGCTAGTAAATGATGCGCCAGGGGTCCTTTATATTGTCACTGGACTTTTTGCAAGAAGAGGATATAATATTCAGGTACATTTAGAGTCTAACATATTGCAATTGCATTAGTATTTTAAGGCTAACAGAATTGTATTTCATTTAATTGTCTCCCATTCGTTTAGAAAATTATTTTTCTGATCAAATCTGATGAATGTCATGCTGTCAGAGTTTAGCTGTTGGTCATGCAGAAGTTGAGGGCATTTCACGCATTACAACTGTTGTTCCCGGTACAGATGAATCAATCTACAAGTTGTTGCAGCAGCTTTATAGGCTGGCTGATGTTCATGAGGTGAATATCCTAAGCTTTGGCAGTCCATCTTCAAATATGTGGTGCTTTCTTATTTTTGTCATATCATATTTTACCACATATGCTCAAATTTCTTCTTGGTGCCATTTAAGAATACTGGCTTGGAATGTTTGAAACAGTTTTTGGTTTCAATGAGATGAAATTGCTGCACTAATCCAGGATTGTAAGGATCTTAATTCTTGCGTGAATTTTATATATTTCAAGATCTATATATTTTAAGTCCCACTCATGGCTATAGGTTTGAGATATTATAATATCCTAAAGTACACGATGGAATATTTTCAATTGATTAAACTCACCAAAGTTCTTATATATTAAAGTAACAACTATGGAGTATTTTGTTTCTTTCTCCTTCCATCCTTTTCTTCTCTCCTGACTATATAATGAATTGCTCATCAGCCAAATTGCTCTTCATATCCTATGAATCCTCTTGATATTTTATGTAGTTACCAACTATGACCTTTTCAGCATAGCGTTGTTTGAATCCGGATGGCTGTTATGAAGCCTTTGAGAATTGGATCAAAGAACTGTATTAACCAGTAAGATGCATAAATCTAAAACTAAAGACTCCAAGAAAAGTAAAAATCGGGTTACCCTTTAATATCTTAAGACAAGAAAATTTGTTCTTTGTTTGAGATCCAAATCACACCTTCTTAAACATGCAAACTATTGTATTACCAAGTTAACTCTTGGCTAGAATGAAAGCTCTAAGACTCATTTTACTACAGTTCAAAACTTGATTTTGGTAGGCATCATACATATATATATATAGCCTCCAAAACCAAGCCTAAAGCAACCTATAGTCCATTGAATGATTGTCGCTGTCCAAGTCCATCAATGACATAAAAAACCATTAACTAAATGTAACCTAAGAATAAAGGAAAAGCCGTAAAACAAAAGGTACAATAAAAATGCCCATAAATCGAGAATTTAATTCTAGATTTTTAAGTCTTTGTAACCCCCAATTTAAGTAGTTAGAGCTTGGATCTTGGGTTCCATCAACGAAGTCCTAGGAGCTTTACTTGTCTTCAATAAGGCTTGAGTTTCACTAGAATACATTAAACGAAACTTGAGTTTGAAGTATGTTCATTTAGCACTACTGACTCCTGTAACTACATTTCATCTTGAGTTCGCCATAAATGTTACAGTACATTTGATGCAATTCCATCTTGAAGTCCATCTTTTGGACTACATGTAGGGTGGTATGATACGTATCAGAATCTCATTTGAACCGTTATTTCCTATTAGAGAATGGTAAACTAGTTATCCAAAGCTGTGACCTTATGCTTAAAAGTCCAAGCCTAATTGGTCGTTGGTTACTCCTTTAGGTACGGGATATGACCCATGTGCCATTTTCGGAGCGCGAGCTGATGCTGATTAAAATTGCTGCAAATTCTTCTGCTAGGCGTGATGTGCTTGATATTGCCCATATATTTAGGGCCAAGGCTGTTGATGTCTCTGACCATACCGTAACTCTTGAGGTAAATAATTCTGGAACTGATATGTTCTGCCGCATTTTTATTTTTTGAGAATAATTAATTTTTAGAGTCAATTTTAATTTTAAACTCTCATCGTATATTATGTAAGTTTTATTTTGGAGACTATTGTCTATTCTGTAAGTGATAAAGTTAAATACCTTTCCAAAATCAATTTAACAACTTGCCTGTGAACCAATCAATACCCTCGCATAGAATTGAATTGAACCAACACAATATCCACTACAGTTCTCAAATCCAATCCCTCACATAAACTTACCTACCAATTGAAGTAGGTAAAGAGAAGTCCAAATTTGACCAAACTTCTGAAACCCAATAAAAAACATCCAACACACATAAACAAGAACAGTCATACACATTTAGCCAAAAAAATTCTATAACTAGCCTCAAAATCTTAAATGCAAAAATAAATTAAATTCATATTAGTTTTCACCGTGTATTTAAGGTTTTAGGTTAAATTTGACTCTACTAATTAAATACACAGATACAAACTTTTTCTTTTAGTTTCATAGCTCAACTCATCAATCAGAATAACAGAGGTTCGATCCCCATTGATGAACTGTTACTTTTATTTTTGAGCTATGTAGTATGTAACCAACAATTTGTAGTGATGAATGTGCTCGATACTTCTTTCAGCTTACAGGAGATTTGCATAAGATGGTTGCACTCCAGAGATTGTTAGAGCCTTATGGCATTTGTGAGGTTAGATTCCAGCGAACCCCCTCTTCCTCCCCCTTCCATTTTAAGTTCACAGAGAGATGATCTTCGGGTATCTGTTACAGGTGGCAAGGACGGGACGAGTAGCATTGGTGCGCGAATCTGGAGTAGACTCGAAACATCTTCGAGGATACTCATTTCCTCTGTAAACTGAGGTGAGGGGCACAGAACATTGGGGTCGTACACACCAATTATGGTCAAGGATGGTATAGAAGATCTGCGTATATAATAATGGTACCCAAAAAAAGAGGCTGCATACTATTTTATGAGGATACTCAGAGGCTCTTTTACTAGTTAATGACCAACGTTACTTGGAGCTGGCTTTGGGGGGCAGGGGTTTATGTCAATTGTAGCAATGGCGTGAGAAATTTTTGTTTGTTTTTTTTTTCTTAAACTATTGATATTTTTGTTTTGTTTTGTTTGTTATTGTTATTATTTTTTTCATATTTTCTTCCCTTTTTTGTTTTGTTTGTTTTTGTTTTTTATTTTTTGAGTTCAATAATTGAGAGGTTGGGATTGGCTATCAATTCTTGGGACGGTAAGTAGGTACTTTATCCGCAAATTGATATATTTGATTCGATTTTGAAGTTAGAAGTTTCATTTAGGTCTTTATTTACTTTGATGGAATGTGAATAAAAATTTTCATTTCGTTGGATGATGTTTTCTAACATATATTAAATGAAAGCAATTGGTGGGGATTTACCTCAACCTCATTCATCTTTTATGATTTCATCAATTTCTTTCTCATTTTTTATTTTGTGGTCACCATAAATTTTTAATAATTAGTTTACAAGTTTTACACTTTCTCCAGCTTATTAATGAGACTATATCTTTTTAATTAATTGGTTTATAATTTTATTGTTTGTTTATTTGTACTAATAAATTTTCTTGTAATAAAAATTTATACAACTTTTATTAGTTGATGTTATTTTATCATAAAATATTATGAATTTCTATTTAATTGATCAATTATTTAATTTTAATTTGTTATTATTTAAAATCAATAAAATTGTAAAAATATAATTCATTGTTATTAGCTATTAAAATAATGAAATGTAATAATATTATATTATTAATGATGGTTATTATAAGAAAAATTATATTGATATTTTTTTATGTAATTTTATTCTGTTATTTATTATTTTTTTAACTAAAAATAGTATTCTAATTAAAGTATTTGTAATTAGTTAGAAATAAAATGAGGTATTCTACTATCCGTTTTGGTAACATTTCCATTTCTTGGAAATGATTTTTATTTCGATTCTTTATCATTTCAATTCTTAGCAAATTAGGCTTTACTATTTAACAATTTTTCATATGTATATATATATATATATATTTTTTTTTTGTTTCAATTCCAGGTAGATTATTTGTATTGATCTATCAACTAAAAAAAATGAATATATTGGTCTCAGTTTTTTTTTGGGAACCATCAAACAATTGGTGAATCTTTGGAAAACTTCCTTCAAAACGTCCTTCATTTACTTTGCTTTTTTTTTTTCTTCTCGAAAGTTTCAATTTTACCTTCACCTTTTTTCTCTCTTAACTTTCTTTATAATTGAAACTCTTAAATACAAGAGGCAAAGTTAAAACTAGATTAATCAATTAGTTGCTTGTTGTGTCCCTAAATAAATATTCAATTCGCCTCCTCAGCTAAAATTATTAGGTGAATAAACATACCATTACAAATAAAATAAAACGAACCAGTTTTACTCGAGTGCAAATTCAATGGAAACCGTGGAAGAGAGAGAGATGAATCGGTCTGAAAAACATGGATGATAGACTTGTATTTTGAAGTCTGATGTAGAAGCCAGTGATTCAAAACAAAAGGCTACTTGAATCTTATTGTATTGATTTTCGGATACAAGCAATATATATTTGATTTAGGGAAAATTGACAAAATAAGTCTTCTGTCTCTTAAAGTTTTTTAATCGCCCTCCTCAAAACACAAGTTTTCTAGTCACGGCTGACATCACCAATTTTGACAAATGACCTCTCTCTTCAGACTCCATCTCTCTCCTCTCTCCCCCACTAATATTTTAGACTYCCTTCCTTATTTCCTCTCTTTTTCCAGATTTTTTTTCTTCCTCTTTGTTTTGTTATTGTTTTTCATTATTCTCTTTTCCTCTTTTCAGCAAATTTTTTTTTTCTCATTCTCCCTAAAATTTTCTTGGAGTTTCTCTTTTCCATCTTCACTCTTTCTCTATTTTTTCTATTACTATTATTCTCTTTCTTCTTTACTCACCACAAAAAGCAATTTTTTTTCCTCTATGATTCCCGTGACTTTTAGCAATCGCTGACGATGGATGCATCAAAGCCGACGAAGGAGGTCGTTCGCCGAAGAAAGAAGATCAATGGAAGAGGAATGGGGGAGGAGATAAAGAGAGAGAGAGCGAGGTTGAGTGAGAGAGAGCGAGGTTGAGCGAGGGTGATCAAGAATTGAGGGAATCTAAAAATACTATCTCAATATTAATTCAAATTTGTTTCCAAAATCTATTCTCAATCTCATTAAATCTCTCAATGTAGTTTTAATTAGTATTGACTTAAAAACCACTCATTTTGCTTTCATCTCTTTCATTCCTAATTTAAAATTTAATCAAATGAAAATATCAATTTAAAATCTAATTACAAAAAGAAAGTATTCGAATTTGAAATTTAATTCAAATTTGTTTCCCAAAATCTCTTTTTTAATTAGATTTTAAATTGATACATTTGATTAAAATTTAAATTAGGAATGAAATATGGAAAAGCAAAATTGGGGGATTTGAAATTCAATTATAATTAAAATTACATTGAGAGATTTAAGGAGATTGAACAGAGATTTCGAGAAACAATTTGAATTAATATTGAGATTCCGTTTTTCTGAAAATTAATTTGATTTGATAAACATTAATTCAAAATTAATTTTTAGATACTATCAAAAAAGACAATCTCATTAAAAATATTATTTTTAGATTCCCTCAATTCTCTCTCGCTCAATATCACCCTCGCTCTCTCTCTCTCGCTCACCCTCGCTCTCTCTCTCTCTCTCTCGCTCACCCTCGCTCTCTCTCTCTATCTCCTCCCCCATTCCTCTTCCACTCAGCTTCTTTCTTCGGCGAATGACCTCCTTCGTCGGCTTTGATGCAGCCGTTGTCAGCGAAGTTACGAGAACTATGGAGGCTGCTGGTTTAGAAAAAAAACTGAGAGATTTAGGGTTTTTTTTAAAGTAAATTGCTTTTTGTGGTTAGTAAAGAAGAAAGAGAATAATAGTAATTAGAAAAAATACAGAAAGATGGAAGAAGTAAAAGAGAAACTCCAAGAAAATTTTAGAGAGAATGAGAAAAAAAAACTTTGCTGAAAAAGGAAAAGAGAATAATGAAAAACGATAAGGAAAAAAAATCTGGAAAAAGAGGGAGATGGAGGTAGAGAGAGGAAATAGGGAGGGAAGTCTAAAATATTAGTGGAGGGGTACTGAGGGTGTGAAGGTGATGTCAGCAAATGCCTATAAAACTTGTGTTTTGAAAAGGATGATTAAAAAACTTAAAAGGACCCTATAGAATGCTTATTTTGTCAATTTTCCCTTTGATTTAAAAGGGAAAGTAATGAATAAAATACAATACAAGAGGTAGATGAGCTACCCTTTACTAGCTCTCACTAACTCTTACTAATTCTCATGTGGCGGTAGAGAAGCAAGGCCAAGTTTGTCATGAAGATAACAAGATCTAGTAATGTGACAGGCTTGGTGAGATAATTAGCCAATTGATGAATGGAGGGAACATGATACGCGACAACTCAAGTGTATGGACTACTCTAGTCTATAGCCACTTGAATCCAATTGTATAATTGGTTTCAACTCGAAAGGGAAAGGTTAGATGTATTACATTTGGTGACCAAACAAAACAAGCATGATCCGAGAGTAAACAATGAATTCCTAAGTTCGACCACACAAAGAAAAATACTATTGCGGGAGGAGGGGTTTGCACGAAGCAAATGATGAGAAAACTCTCAATTTTGTATTGAACAACTTCACTAAACTTGATTTGAAACAAAGTGGGGAACACGCCTATTTATAGGCTCAGGACCTTTACAAGGAAAGTTGCAAAATAAAATAATCCTAAAATCTAATGAAAATAAAATTTAAACAAATAATTAAAGATTTTTCCTTAAAAGGTGCGAACTTGCTAATCAAGCAAAACAACTATTACTTAAACTAATTTTGATAAGAATAAAATAAACTAAGGAAAATCATAAAAAAAAGACATATCCTAAAATCCACCCACATGCTTATCAAGCAAGAGAAATTATTCCTTAAATGTAATTTGATAAAAAAAACAAAGGGAAATAGAAAGGAAATAATTTCCTTAAATGGCTTGGAGTGCGCGCTCTTTGACGCCAATGGGCACAGACGCGTGCATGAGGGTGGATAGGCAACAAGGACGTGTGCACAGGCATGAGTGGCATGGCGACAGGCAAACATGGGGCACGC